GGCCCACCTTGTCTCTCTTTCTTTTTCTTTTCTTTTTTGTTTTGATTTTTTGAGACAGGGTCTCACTATGTAGTTAAGGTTGTCCTTGAACTTGCTTTGTAGTCCAGGCTGGCCTTGAACTTGTTGTGATCCTCCTGCCTCAGCCTCTCAAGTGCTGGGATTATAGGCATGCACCACCATGCCTGGCTATTGCCCACATTTTCTGTTTGGTTGTTTTTCTTTTTTGAAAGTGTTCCTCCACCCCATTTTTATGAATTTCCTGAATAATCATATAAATCTTTATGTCATATGAATTGTATAATTTTTCTTACTTCGTGTTTTACATGCTCAAATATTTAGTAATACCAACTGTCCCCCACTCTCCCCTTGTACTGGGGATTGAACTCAGAGCAAGTGCTCTTCCACTCAACTATCTCCCTAGCCTGTTGTATTTAATTCTGAGATAGGGTCTTCTTGTTAAATTGCAGTGGCTGGCCTCAAACTGGCAACCTTCCCACCTCTGGTGACTTTTGTTTACAATATAGAAACATTTTGTATTCATTACAATTGGAGAATCTGTTTTTCTTGTATGGAATATGACAACTCAAATGTACTTATAATATGTTGACCTACTGTCTTAGTATTACCTGTATTTGAATTAGACCTTTGAGAATAGGAACAAAAAATTACAATTAGAGAATTTGCTATTCTCCATTATAAAGGTAATTTTCCTATGTCTTGATCAACATTAAAGACAAAACTGTCTAATTTGAAAGAATGTTATTTAAAACTTAGAAATTTAAAATTGGAAAAAATACTGATCTTATTTATTCATTTATTATCAGAATTTGTATTACATTCTATAGTTTACAAAAACATTTTCTTCTGTTTAATTTTATTTGCTTATTAGAAAAATTCTTTCAGTTGGATACTAGTGTATGTCTTTTATATATGTGAAAAACAGACTTTAGGAAAATGACATAAAATCTTTTTTTCTGACATAAAATCATGGACCTAATAATGTGTATAGGACATGACCAGGATTTGAATTCAGGTCTTTTGAGGACAATGTATGTTTTCTTCTTACTTCTCTTCACACTTCATTTTGCGCTTTCACTGTAGTAAACGTGAAAATTGGGTGCTTAATGGCAAGCTTGTGCGATCATCTGTAGATAAGTGACTTCTTAAACTGCAGAAAGTGACACAAAGATATTTCTATTATACATACAGAAGAAATTCTATCTGACAACCACAGGTTTGATGCATTTTGAGCACTTAGCTAAGAGTAGAAGAATATGTTATATTGTCAGTCTGGCTTTGGAAATTTTAGCCAAAGAAATGAGCGCAGTTCCCTAGTCATACTCCATAGCAGCTGAGAACCTGCACTGTCACGTCCCTGGTGCACTCCCCCATGGGGTTAATTACTCAGAGGAAGGAAGCAGGCAGAGATGAGCGTCCCCTGTGGAATCTGCTCTTGCACTACACAGCTTCTCTTTAAGCCCCCAAGGTACCAGAAACTGGTATTTTCCTAAAGAGCTTATGACACCTCTGATATGAAAGGCCATCATTTTAAGAAAACAACGATCTGATGGAAGGATTCCTATGAAGAGAGGCCAGAATGAAATCCTTTGGGCTGTCACCTGAAGATGCCTGCGCTTACTAAGGTTACTGTATGTCTTAATGATAACTTCAGTTTTATCTGTCACAGAGCTCCTGGTCCTGTCTCCCCTTAGACAGTGGGTGCCATTGCCCAAGGTATCCCCATACTCAGTCTCTTCAGTGAGTTTCCTGTAGCCAGCCCTTGTGAGTCTTAGCATCTGATGCTGTCAGCTCTTTCTCCTTTGTATGCTCCATGCCTGATGCCCCAAGAGCTTGGGAACATCCTTGGTGCATTTCCTCAGAGCATTAACTAGAGTGTAGTTTTCTTTAAAGCACTTTCTGAGAGAAAAATTCTAGATGACCATACCTCTGGAAAGTAAGAATTCCCTGAGGATGGAGAAGAAATCAGAGGTGGTGTTTTGGTACATAACAAAACTGAAAATTTTGCTTTGCCTTTTGCAGCAATTTAATTTTGATAAACAAGCACCAGTGTAACTTTAAATGAAGGCATCTGTAGCTACATTTCCTCCTGTCCTGATCTCAGTCATTGTAAAAATATCATTGCCTTTTACTTACTGCAACTTTGTCTGTGAGCATATTTTAGAATGTGCCTTTAAAAACTCTGTATTTAGTTTTTAATACCCAAGAGGTGCTTTTTTCCTGACGCGTCGTGATACCTGAGATGAAGAGGAATCCTCCTGAGAAGAGTCACCAGATAAGAAATAAAAAAACAAGATATCCACCTAAGCTTGATGTTCAGATAAACAACAAACTACCTTTCAGTATTAGTGTGGTCTAAATGCTGCGTATTTCTTGATGGGATGTACTTACACCAAAGGCAATATCATGCTAAAATTATTAAGATAAATATTACACTAAACAATTATTAGTTTTATTTGAAATTCAAATCTAACTGACTACTTTATATTTTATCTGACAATCCTACCTGAGATCATTTCAGATTCTACCAATACTATAGCTGGACTGTGTCAGGGGAAGCTGTATGTCTTAATGTTTTTAAACCCACATTAAGTGGAATACTGTAGCAGTCTTCTCCATTGTGAATGGCATGGGTAGGGATATTAGTTCAAATACTCATGTGGATCCCTCAGAGTTGATCACGTTGACACCTCAGAATCAGGGTGGATGATAAGCTTTATCTGTTTAATAATGCATAAATCATTGCTTATAGCTACTCAGGGCTCCTTCTGGAGGAATGCTTCCTAATTAATTGCTATCCTTTTATATTTTCTCCCTTAGGTGATTTCAAAAAAACTTAATTCTATAAATCAAATCAGTAAATTTCTAGGTCTATTAAATATTGACATTTAAAAATATTTGAAGATTGTAGTAAGCATCAAAGAGACATAGGACAATGCAAGATTAATCAAATATAATTGCTACTGAAGTCTCTAAAAACAAAAAGCTCTCTGACGGGTTTAAACTGAAACACCAACCCTATAAATCATGTCTCAGGGTCCAACCCCACAGTACATTTTACTGATATTGGTTGCAGTTCAAATGCAACAGATTTAAAACAGGGGCTGGGGATTTAGCTCAGTGGCAAAGCGCCTGCCTGGCAAGCGCAAGGTCGTGAGTTCGATTCCTGGTACCAGAAGAAAAGACAAAACAAAAAATAAAATAAAATAAAACAAACCCAAATTCTGAATGTGAAGGCAGAATCCTGTTAGACTAAAAGTAACCTGTTAAGAACCCTAAGATATGAAGCTTAACAACTTTCAAACATTTGGATAAACTCATTGATGGAGGAGTTCTATTATCATGCATCACAGCTACCCTGACAATGAATAGCCTTGGGTTTTATTTTAGTTTTTTTTAGTTTTTTTTTTCTCCGGTACCGGGAACCGAACTCACGACCTTGCGCTTGCCAGGCAGGCGCTTTTGCCGCTGAGCTAAATCCCCAGTCCCGCCTTGGGTTTTATTTTAGAAAGAGTATTTAAATTCTGCCACATCCCAATTTTATATATATATGGCTTATATTTATATACATATTTATATACATATACATATATATATGTATATAAATATATACATATATATTGAGACAGGGTCTCACTGCAGAGTCCAGGCTGGCCTTAAACTCACTATGCCAGTCTGGCCTCAAACTCATGGTGATCCTTTTGCCTCAGCCTCCTGAGTGCTGGAATTACGGGCATGTGCCATCATATCCAGCCCAACTTTCACATTTTAAAAACAGTGTTTAGGCTTAAGGTAGGGAGGAAGGGCATTTGTAAGTTTTGCTACCACTCCCAGCAAAATTCTACAACAATGTAATAGGTAAATGATGGTGCATGTTCTTTGCTTTTCTTCAGATTTTGAAATGAAGTCTAGTGGTCTTCCCTTAAATCCGGATGGGTCTTGATGACTCTTTTGAACAGTCGAATGGATCATAAGTGATGTGCTGGGAGCTTCCAGACTATTTCATGAAAAACCCTTTGACTTCTACCCAGGCCTCTTAAAATGCACCACATCCTTACCTGAGATAATGACAAAGACACGGGGGAGGCCCGTGTCTGCTGCCTGGGAAGCAGGTCCATGGGAGCTCAACCTTCCAGCCCTGTCCTCGTGGGTGGATGTGTGAGGGGAGCTGTCCCCCAGCACCCGAGCCCGCCTGGCAGCCTGGAGCTCCCGAAGGAATACTGTTGATGCCTCAGGGAACAGGAAAGCCCAACAAACCCTGCTGGAATTCCTGGCCCATGAAATCCTGATGTAATAAAAAGGTGGTTATTTTAAGTCTCTAAGTTTCACATTGTTTGTTCACCAGAGCACCAGAACAAGCAGTGAGTGATGCATTAATCTTTATACTTAACAAGTAATAGGGTCTGGGGATTTAGCTCAGCGGCACAGCGCCTGCCTGGCAAGCGCAAGGTCGTGAGTTTCATTCCCGGTACCAGAAAAAAAAAACAAACAACCAAGTAATAGAAGAGGGGAGAGACAGAGAAGGGTGTGCTGATTGGAGAAGATGAAAGGGGAGATGTGATTAAATCCTGCCATAAGAGACTTTAAATGTCATGGGCACTAATAACAGATGAGCTAGAGACCTGGAGGACCTACAGCAAATTAAAAAAAAAAAAAAGCAAAAACCAGAGTCACAATTTTTAATAAGCTGCTACCATGATTTTGGGCAAACTTGCAGCTTTGTTTGGCCCAACTTCTCAGAGACTCAGAGAGAAAGCAGCAGTGAAGTTCCACCTCCTGCAAATGCTGCGAACGGTAATGAATAAACATGATATGTTTATTCATAATGAACATAATGAATAAACATAAATATGCAGCAAATACGATCTAAAACTGCTAAATATGTAAGAAGCAATCTTTGTACATACTAATGATCTTTCATCAGGTGATTTCAAATTGGAGGAGGCTGGGGGGGGGAAAATGCCATTAAAAATATAAACCCATTTTTATTTTTTGTACTTTTATTGAAAAGGTACATTTAAAAAAATACACAGACATTTTACCATTTACAGATTGCAGATATAGATACTCTAAAAGAGATCCCTCCATTCTGTTGTTTTATGATACCTCTTGCCCCTGACACCACAAACATTCCAGTCTCGTTGACATCAGCTTAGAAAGGGGGGGCAGGGGAGCATGACCTGCAACATAGTTGGTGAACAGAAAGACAAACTGTTCAATTATAAACTTTATATCTTCTGTACATTATTGCATTGGGGAGCCACAAAATTATGTAGCATCATTACAAATGGAAACAGGTTAAAAATGGAGATAACTATGTAGAAATACATGGATTCATTGTCTTCTTGCTGAACCCACAGGAGTGCAAAAATGTGCCACTGAGGAAGCTCTTTGTGTGTTCGTATACATTTGCTTAGCAACTCAAACCGGTGAGGAGGCTACAAAATAAGTTAAACAAAAACAGCGAGAAGGTAGTAATTATAGCTATGTTATATGGCTTTCTATTTTGTTTAAATATCTCCAAATAAAATGTGAAATAAAGAAAATACATTATCTTTTGTTCTCTGAAAGAGAAAATTCAAAGCTACTTTGCTTCCTAACATTTACACAGCAACTTAAAAATGTTGAGTTCAGACAAGAGATACGATCTAGTACTACACAGGATACAACAGTACTTGGGTCTAAAACAGTACACAATCCCTGTCAACAATAGTACACCAAAAAGAAAACGTCATGATCCATTGTTAAGATGGTTCCCACAAGTGAACATTTGTGTTCTATATTGTTCCACGCTAGAATACGCCCGGTTGGATTCCAGAGTTATTTACAGACATCTGAGGAAGATCCTAGTTTTCAAGTCTGTCAGGAAAATATTCCATGTTTTCTAAGCCAGATCAGACCCATGGGAAATTAGAGATTGATTTTCTTTTTCTTTTTCTTTTTTTTCTGACTAATACAGTTTTCAAGAAGCCAAATATCTCAGATACACCCATTGCCTGGGGTCGGGTAAGAGGGGAACAAGGAGAGAAAGCCTATGCTGCTCACATTCCTAGTTATAGGAGCGGTCCATTAAAGCACTCTTGAATCTAGCGATTGGTTTTCTGTTTGGGTCGGGGCTCGCGCAGGCAGGCTGCATTGTGTGGGTGGGTGGGGGTACTTACTGCAACACAAAATGCTCAAATTGCTGAAATCCTTTTGGTTTTTCTTCTTAACTTTCTTGCTGGCCTGGATTGTGGTGGGGCTTGCGCATGTTAGTAGGGGGCGAAGAGGATGGAGGCGGGGGTGGCGCGGATGGGCCCGTGGCCCGGCCTCAGCAGAGCCGGAGGGATAGCTGGTGCCTGGAAAAGCGACGCAGATGGCCGGGGCGGCAGCGACAGCGCGGAGGACACAGCCGCAGCTGCTGCCAGCGGTGAGGACAGGAAGGCCGGGGCCAAAGGCTTCATCATATCTTTCTGGAATGCAAGTTTTGCCTAACGGAGGAAGAAAAACCAGCAGTTCGGTGAAGACTTTGTTCTTGAATAACAGTATTATGGCTATATTTTCATAACTAAAACATCAATATGAACAAGTCTTAAATTTTTTTTTTACTTTCTGAAATCAAGAAATGATTATATCCACAAGGCTGGCTTCAGTGGCTCTTGGCATAGCTTTACTTTGATTTCTTTCCATTTCAGCTCTTTCTTGATCTTTGATCCTGGGTCCTAGGTCCTAGGAAGTCTCCTTAAGTTGACACTAACCTACTCAGCAGAAATAAAACATATCTGGAGGTCCCTGCTTAGGCAATGGAGCTCAATTCAGAATTGAAACTTCTTTCTTTTTTTTTTTTTTTCCCCCGGTACCAGGAATCGAACTCATGACGTTGCGCTTGCCAAGCAGGCACTGTGCCACTGAGCTAAATCCCCAGCCCCCAGAATTGAAACTTATCTTAAACTGGCACGTGGCCTAAAGAGAGGTTTTTGTATTTTGAGAAGCACAACCTTTCTTTTCACTTCCTTTAGATAAATTACATTGGGGTTAGGTAGCTGGGGTTTAGGGCATTAGGGACCCGCAGAGTCAAGAAAACAAAGGCAATTTCTATTTCTCCTTCAGTATTCCCAGAGAAATTGCAGCTAAATCAAGTTTCTATTGCTGAGAATGGCTATAAGTAGGCTAGAAAGTTTCTCTGCTTAAAGGAATCTCTGGGCAGAATCTTCCTGTGAAGTAAGAAATCAATCTTTTAATTTCTCTCTTTGCAGTCAGGGGGAGCTGCGCAAGCTGGATTTGCTTACCGCAGGTACTACCTGCTGCCTGCACCAGGTAAAGGCTTTGGAAGGTAATCTCAGTGTCACCTCGCCTCCGGCTGCCTAATCCAGCCTTCTCTCAGACTGAACACTGAGCTGGGCCTGCGCCGAGTCTCAGGGAGAATGAAATCCATGCATCTGGCTATTTATATGACACCTACTGCTGAGGTCTCTGGGAATTTTTGCTAAGAAATTGAAAACAGTACATACTGAAATCAGGTGAAACAGGCCAGTTACCAACATGCCTGCTGTAGAGTGGAAAGAGCAATACAAATACCACTTCCTTGCACACAGATGCACACACACAAGCCAGAAAACAGGAAGATATTAAGTTCAGTGGATGGAGTTTTGTTTTGTGAAAGCAACTGCTCTTCCTAGGTTTAGCTGGCCTCAAACTTGGGAACTTATTGCCTCCGCCTCCCAAGTAGCTAGGAGTAGAGGCAGACACCACCATGCCATTTTACTTTCTTTGTGTGGTTAAGAAGATAGTTTTTGATGAGGCCTAGGTCAGATATTAACTCTTAAATTTAAGGGGTTCAGTCTAAGGAAGCTTTGTTCAAGGTGTCCTATGGCAGAAACTCATTCATTTAAAATTTCCATCAGTGAGGGCTATTTAAATTCACTTTTAGGATGGGGGTGTAACTCAATGGTAGAGCACTTGCTTAGCATATGTGAGGCCATGGGTTCAAGTCCTAGATGGGAAAAAGTTAAAAATGAGAAAAATAAGGTGTGCAGGTTGGCACATGCCTGTAATCCCAGCACTTTGAAAGGCTGAGGCAGAAGAATCTCAAGTTCAAGTTCAACCTAGGCAACATAGCAACTTAGCAAAACATTGCCTCAAAATAAAAAATAATGAAAGGGGCTGGAAATGTAGCTCCATGTGATGGCCCTGGGTTCCATCCCTTGTGCTGCAGTCAATCACCAATCAGTCAATCAATCAATCAACCAATCCACAACTTTTCATGACCGTTAGTGCCTAAGCCCACCTTAAAGGCTTTGTCCAACTCAGAAGTCTGCCCCACAGAGCCGGTGAGCAGATGAGGTAAACTTACTGCTAGAACGCTGGGGCTCCGCTGGAGTTTGTTGTACGGGCTGTATTTCGGCTTCAGGGGTTTCCCTGCAACCCGGTCTTTATGCCTTCGGCTAGAAATGTGCTGAAAAAGTTTGATGAGTTAGCTGAAGCATGACTGTATTTCCTAGTCAGAGGTAGCTGGTTTCTTCATTCTCAGCTCCTCTGTTCTCAGGTCATCTGTTCAAATATGGTTTGGGTAAAATCTTCAGGGCTTCTCAATCAAGACTTGCTCCCCACTTGATCGGAATGCTTCTACCCTTCTGTTCTCCATAGCCCTTACCAGATTTTGCTTGGTGTCACCCCTGTTACTGCCAAGTCTGTTTCCCTAAGCAGACTTGGGTCTTTGACAGACAGCTTCTGCTGGATTGGAATTGCCATGTGACTGCTGTGGCCACCTCGCTATCACCAACACCTAGTCTAGAGCCCAACATTACAGTAGTAGATGCTTGCGTACTGGCTACTGACTCTCCCTTCCGCAAAGCACTTGTATGTTATGCATCCTATAAAGGTTAGAAAATTGAATGGGGAGCACGGTAGAAAACACTCCATGGATGAGGAGACACAGACCATTAAAGGGTGGCCCCAAACCAGTGTACACTAATGCGGGACACATTACCTGTTTGAGTTGAATTTCGGAGTTAACGTGAACATCACAGATTTCACAATGAAATGTCTTGTTCTGTAGTCCTGATCCCTTACTGCCGTTCTGCATCTTTAATCTTGATCCTGGTCTCGGATAGGACTTAATTGGACCAGCTCCATTGCGAGCCTCAACCATGGTCTTGTGTTTAGATCCTAAGACAGAAAGAGACATATGTTACAAGACTGGTTAGAGCTATAGGAAGTTCTAATCCTTGAGAGATTTGTCTCCCAAAGCTTTTTTATGAACCATTTAATGCTGATTATAAATTTAATACACTTTCATTGTAAAAACTGGAAAAACATAAGAGTGTATAATAAAATATGGAAAATATAAAGATGCGTGAGAAAACAAGAGTGTCCTAGATACCAAAAAAAATTTTTTTTTTTAAAAAAGGGGCCGGGGATGTAGCTCAGTGGCATAAGAGCTTGCCTGGCAAGCCTGAAGTCATGATTTCTATTCCCGGTACCAAAAATAAATAAATAAATAAATAGTGTCCTAGATTTTCACCACCCCAAAGTAACCACTGTTACCCAGCCCTTTCTTTTTTGCATACTGAAAACATACTTCAGAATTGGCACTGTGCTAAATAAAGATCTGAAATCATGAAAGGTATCAAATCATGTTCACGTTTTCTTATCATTACATTTTAATAGTTGAGTAACATTCTATCATATTGGGTTACTATAATTTATTCAGTATTTCTCTACTGATGGATTTTTAAGTTGTTTTCCTTTTTTCCTTTTATAAGTATGTGACAATATTGTGCAGAAATTTTTGTGTTCTTTTCTTATACTTCATCAAAATGAGTTCTGGAAGGTATTAGAAGCCTTCAAGGAAATAAACAGAACCAGTCTTATCTCCAACCTGCTTTTGCTTTGCTGTTTCCAAACAAGATCATATTTTTCTAACACACTCCTTTGAATCAAAAGGGCCCAGAAAACACTGGACAAACAATTTCTGAACAATAGATGTGATATTCTAATGGGAAAAGTTGGGTTTTGCTGTAAAAGTTATTTAGATTCAAAAGATAGCGGCTAACCTGTATTGTGTGCCTCTAGCTGTGACAGGGAGTTCACAGCCACTTTGCATAGTGAACAGTAAAGTAATTTTTTGGCTTTTTCTTCTTCTGATTCCACAACAGCCCCAGAAGCTCCATTTGTACTCTTGGAGGGTGAAGCGGCAGCTCCAGGCGGCAGAGCTGTTGTGCCAGACTTGAGGAGCAGTGAGCCACCTTCGGCGCTGGAGGGCTGACTGGCGTTGTTGGCTTTTAATTTCCCTTTATCTTCTAAGAAAGCACGGAGATATTATTAATGCCTTGTGTATCGTACAAACACAGATAAATCACCACAAAAGAATTAAAATAGAAATCCAATTTCTATCTCCAATAGAAAGATCCACTTATAGAACTTTTATCCTAACACAGATTTTACTTCATCAAAGCTTGATTTAAGCGGAATTCCGTGTGATCAGTTTCCATATTAGGTCAGCCCAAAATCATGATGATTTATGAAGAAACAACTTTGTTCTCCTCCTGCAAGCAGGCAGTTTTCTGTCTGGTACTCTTCCTCTATAAGCAATGCTCCAGAGAAGTCTTTAATGTATAACAAAATCAGCTACCCTTCAAGGTGATTATATGACCTGACGGTAACGTGAAAGAAGTCATTAGCCAATGTCAGTTTCATTAGGCTACTTGTGTTTTAATTATGACATGGACAGAAACTTAAAATTTAATTTTCACACCAGGTTAAAAATTTAACTTTAAGTTTTGGGGTGGAGGAGAGGGAAGAAACATGGTTCATTTTCATTATGATTAGTCAAGGTTTTGCTGCTCTTTGAATGGTCATGCGGCATAGCCAAAAATTCAAGAGACAAGGGTTGTATTCATTACACTTGTCAATTACTGCTAGTCTAAATAAAATGTTTTAAATGATGACATTAAGCACAATATGAAGATTAGGCAAATCACCTAAAGACACCTTGGTATTTTGATCACGTACATACTGAATGCTTGTAATCCTCAAGGCCTATGAGCAGGCTATGAGGGTCAGAGCGACTTTAACAGAATTTGGAGTTCATTTACTATTCAAGACAGGCTCTCTTAGTGACTCCTTTGGGACAGAAACTGGAGGTTTAGGCAACAGCAAAATCCATCCCACATTTCATTCTAGTAGAGCCAGGACTCTTCAAAAATATCTGTAGATATGCTGGTTAACTCTCATTAAGAGAAAAGGAAATTCAAAGAGAAAACATATTTGTTAATTGCCATAGCTAATTCAGAACTATACACCACTGGCCCAGCAGACCAAGAGGGAAGGAGTGGCTGGGCAATAGCAGTGTTGTGTTTCTATGCTTGCATTACAAGATTCTGCATATGAGCAAACCAAGGCGATCAGCACTCAGAAATGGTGGGAAATCATACTTTTTTTTTTTTTATTTTGGTTTTTCTCCGGTACCGGGAACCGAACTCACGACCTTGCACTTGCCAGGCAGGCGCTTTTGCCGCTGAGCTAAGTCCCCAGCCCCGGAAATCATACTTTTAATAATATATTCTTAAAGCCTCATCAACTGGGAGGTCAACAGTCAATTTCCATCATTTCTCCTGAGTCGGAGCCATCCAGGCACGTTAGGATTAGGCACAAGAGTGCCACACAGGGTTTCCAGATCTGAGTGTTATTTAGAATAAATGAATGCCGAGGTCTTTACTTACCATAGGGTTCTACATTCTGTGCTCCTTTTCAGCAAGTATATTAAAACTGCAGCGTGACATGAAGTCTGATGGAAAAGGTCTTAGACTTTTATTAAGCTGACCTCAGTAGTACGAGAGATGAAAACAGAACCATCCTTTCTAATTGGGAATAGTAAATAAGACTGGAGATTATTTTAGGTTTGGAGCTCTTCCATCTGTACGGATCTCTTGGGTTGAATTTGCTCGTATACAACTCATAAAGCAGCAAAATAATTCAGTAATCTTCATATTTGCCCTGTAGGATTACTCATCTCCTTGTGATCGAAATGTAAGATATTGTACAGTAAAACCTTTCCTTGCTTCCAGCTTTTAACATTTCATATAAATTTAACTGGAAAAAACTGACCTATGTCAGTTATTTACCTACCCATTCTCTCTCATATTACTACTTCAGTGTTCCTAATGTTAATGCTCCTCGTACATCATATATTTACACAGAATTTCGCAGTTTACAAAGTGCTATTACTTGTATTATTATCTAGCAAAGTAAACTTGTGGAATAGGTCAGGCTGAAAATGGTGTTTCTTATCTTTAAGATGAGGAAACTGAAGTTCATCAAAATGAAATAATGTCCCACAGACTGGCAGGTGGCGAACAAGTGTGATGTTTTCTCTAAACGATCACTGTGTGGTGCATGAACCTTCCAGCGCGAAGAGGGGAACTTAATGTGTCGTTAACATCACAAAAGCACAGGACAGTCAGCCTAGACGTGAAACAGCTATTGCTTTGTTTCACAATGCAGTTTAGTTTTTAAGCATGTTTGCCTTAAAGAAAAATATTTATCTTGCTCCAAAACCATTTGATCCAGGTTATACTGAAAAGAGGTATAAATTACTTATTTTTCTCTACAGCTTTCAGAAAAATGAAACAGATTTCCTTTTTATAGCTCCTTTTTAAAAAAGTAATTTATTCACTACACATGCATATTAACATTATGTTAATGCCAGCAGTGTGCGAGACACTGAGAGGAACAGTAGGAAAAGCAGGTACAGACTTTTCAGAAGTTGCAGTGCAGCGGGGGAAAGGAGGGTCATTCAGAGCCTCTCTAATTTATGATAGAAACCAGCGAGCAGTGTGAGAGTACAGAGCAGAAAATGATTACTTCTGCTTGGGGAGAAAGGGCCGGTTTTCATTAAGGAAGTGGCATTTTGAAGGTTTTGAAGGTCAGATTTAGATAAGCACAGAACAGGGATGACGGGGTGTGGGAGGTAAATGATTTCAAGCAGAACATAGCGTGTGGAGTTAGGAATCTCACTGGAGTTAGGACGCGTGTGGGAGTTAGGGATCTCAGGGCTTTCGTGGTGCACACGCACACCGCAGTTGAGCACAGAGTGGGCAACATGGGTAGTGGAAAACACTACTAGAAAAGTCAGCCATGCCACAGACAGAGAATATCACAGATCTGTTTATTTATTTTTTTATTTTTTTGGTTTTTCTCCGGTACCGGGAACCGAACTCACGACCTTGCGCTTGCCAGGCAGGGGCTTTTGCTGCTGAGCTAAATCCCCAGCCCCACAGATCTGTTTAAATAAGCATAGGCACTTCATTTTTCAACACATATTGAGAAGTTCAGTGTGTTTCACATGATCTCAAATTTTGATAAATTGTTCTAATTGTCTTCCACCAAATAAGTTATTCTTTCTATCTAGCTATCTAACTATCATCTATCATCTATTTCTCTTGTGATACTGGACATTGAACTCAGGGCCTCCTTATAGAGCTACATTCCTAGACCTTTTTTGTGTTTTTGAGACAGGGTCTCTGCAGCTCACTAAATTGCCCGGGGTGAGAGTGTTGAGATTATAGGCATGTGCCACCACGCCCAGCTAGATAGATTAGAGTCCTAATGTTTAAGAATATTAGAGAAAATTTTTGACTTCAAAAATGTGTAAATGATGTCAACGTATTTTAGGGAATCCTGTTATTGCATTGACATTAGCTAGTCAATAAAGTAGATTCTAAAGTCAGGCAAATCATTGATGCATTTATATATTAAATTGTGGCATTCTTTCTGGATGTGTAAACTTATAAACTTCAAAGCCTAATTGTATTATTTCTCCTCTCCATGGTTTGATATTTTGATAAAACTCCACTATATTATTTCTCTTCCCTTACTGGCATTTAAAAAACCTCCTTATTTTGTGTATTTGGAAATTTAATTAATGTACTGTTTACTTCTGTTTCTTTTAATAAAGATGCATGTCATTTGGAACTTCTAGTTAATATGAATTCCATTTACAAGTATTCCCTCAACTAATGTTAATTAGCAGGTCTTCTGACTGTCTTAATTATTTCCTGATTATGCAAACACCTTGTTGAAGGTTTTACCCTACAGGACATTGAAGCAAAATTTGCTTAGCTACATCAAAATTTCCCTTTGTAACAAAAATCCATAATTTATGCATTCAAGTGAATATTTTTCTTCAAAGTAGCCTCCTTGAGAGGCTCCACATTTTTTCACACATTTGAAAACCCTTCTTCCCAGGCTGTTTTCATATCCAGTTGATATACCACGTAAATAAATCAGTATTCAGTATTTGTCATCCTTATTCTTTACTTGAAAAACCTAACTCAAATTAATCTACCTTATTCATCACACTTTGCACTGTATTGCTCAAACAGTGCCTCAGAGGGCTCATATACTAACACAGAAGATAAAAAGAAGCCAGAAGTTCTGGAAGGAGTTTTAAGAAACTGATCCTCTTGATAGATGGAAGGCTTGTCCAGGTTTAGTTCTTAATTTTTAAAACAATCAAAATAATATTCTATCTACAATGAAAGTCTTACAGTCTGAATTAGAAGTTTGAAAACTACATCAATTTTTTATTATTCTACTTCAACATTTATTCCTGAGTTTAATTTTATTCATACAATAACCCTTTTGCTAACTAGGTTTCAATGGTTCAGTAATAGATACATATTATATGATAAATGCATGTAAGCATGTGAGAAAATTTTCTAAAAATCAGGCAAATTTCTAAAAAATTAAAATCACGTATGAGTTCAATATAACTTGTTATCTCACTTATTTTTCACATGCTTTAATGAAACAGAAACTGTTATATATGCCTTTTCATTATTTTCAATTGAGGTATAATCTACTGTGAAGTACATAAATTTTATGAACTCATACATAAATAACTTTGTGTAAACACAACTTATATCAAAATATGGAATATTTCCACCACACCAAAAGGCTCATTTGAACCTTTATTTATTTATTTTTTTTTCTGGGACCGAGAATTGAACTCATGACCTTGCGCTTGCCATGCAGGCACTGTGCCACTGAGCTAAATCCCCAGTCCTTCATTTGAACCTTTAGTCAGTTGATAAGAACTATGTACCCAAAGGTAAATAGCATTCTTATCTCTATCGACTGAGATCAATGTTAGCTGTTTTTAAACCTCATATAGAAGGAACTGCACACTATTACTCTGAGTTTGGCTTCTATTGTGCAACATTATATCAGTAGGATCCAATCATGCTATTACATACAGAAGGGTTTTTTTCAGAGGTGGATATTTCCAATATATGTCTAT